TAAAAGTATCTTACACGTTTTATAATCACGTTCAAAAGGTATCTCACGTAATAACTGACTACAACCCAAAACTGACATCGAGATAGGACGACCACGAAATAATTATTTTTTTTCTGTAAACTAATATTCCTAAAGTGCACTTTGATATTGAAATTCCGAATTTTGGGTCCAACGACTTTAGAACTTCTCTCAACACATGCACACACACAGGTTACAGACTCACACATATATTACATACACCACACACACACACACAGACACACACACACACACACAGAACCCATAACACACACAACACCCGCACAGACGTCGTAATCGGACGCGTTTTAGGTGTACAATTAACGTCATACCTTCGTAGAACGGAGTTATAAAACCTCATACTATTTTACCAAACGTAAGACATGTGAAGTAAGTTTCTGAACTTCGTAAAACATGTTACGCTAACATCGTCACAATAAGCCGACTTACACGCGTGTACTTCGGTATCGGCTCAGGTCTAAGGACACAATATGTATAATACGGTGTATAAAAAGCATGAGGGTCGGTGTAACGTTGCACAGACTAATATAACCCTAACACCCCTTGCCATACACTTAGACAGACACCCTCTGTGTCTGGCTGGCTAACATTTACTAAGCGAAACTCTAGTTGTCATTCTTTGTCTTGACGAAGTGAGTACTGACATTTAGAATTAACGCCTTCTTCCTCGAAGGACACTAATTCGACTGCACTGCTGTAATTTCTATTTGGTACTGGCAGCACAAAGCTCGAAATGTAAGTCGGCACGTCCCCAGTGAAAATCTTGCTCCCCTTTGTTTGTAGTTACGACCATTTGTTTAAGAAAGTGTACTGAGGTACAAGAGTCCTAAATATACGCTACGTCGCCCCGCGCCATCAAGTGTTGTATTTTTTAGATTTTCTTTGGCGGAATAGTCCTCTGCACATCCGTCCGTTATGACTCAAGAGCGAAGACGTCAAGACAAATCAACATCCATTTGTAATCTGTTGTGAAAGTGATTCGTAGCATCGTCAGTGTAGAAGTTATCGCTCCCAGAACTAACAAAACAACAGCTTTTTTATTCCCGCGAGGGTTAAGGATGTAAAGCGGTCGGTTACGAGACGTCAACCGTAACCTACCCTTTGACTCCTTTCATGAAGTAATCGACCATAATGCTCATCGGTTAATCCAAAAAAAACCATACATATAAAGCGGTACGTAGTTGGAACGCAATACGTCTGTCTCTAACAATAGGAATCGTAACGGTGGGCAGGGGTTAAGGACGGATTCGAACTGGTGTACGTGGACTCGTCGTGACTAACAACAGTGAAATACTTGTTAATCGTTTCTTAAATGTTAGAAACCATTTACGCTACATCACGTCTTTATAGTCGGACTGTTTCATAAAAAACCGTATATACAAATGGCCCGTAAACGAGATTTACATAACTAACATAAGAAATTGGAGTACAACTTTCTCGTTGTGATCAGGGAAGGAAACGTACAAAAGACTTAGGATTAAGGGGTTTAAACAGATTTTTAGATGGAATAAAAAGGACTTTTCGAACTCTACCCGGTGGAGGTTCAGGAAAATAGGAAGTAAACGGGTACTACGTGCGAGTAATGTAACTAAACACAATGTAATACTTGTTAAGGGCACTACT